GAATATTGAACAAGATCAATCATAGAATGGTTTGGGTTGGAAGGCAAGGTAAAGACCAATAAATTCCAATCTCTCTCCCATGGGAAGGGACACCTTTCGCTAGACCAGGTAGTTCAGAGCCCCATCCAACCTGGCCTTGAGCACGTTCAGGAATGGAGCATCCACAGCTTCTCTGTACAACCTGTGCCAGTGCCTCACCACTCTCAGTGGGAGAATTTCTCTCCAACATCTGACCTAAACCTCTTCTCTTGCAGTTTAAAGCCATTCCCCCTTGTCCCTGTGCAAACACAGATCTGATTTTGGTGTTCTTCAGTTTTGTGTAAGAGTCTGCTGAGCCCTGGCTTGCTGAGATCATTTATGCACTTATACAGACTGTTAAAATAATCCCTGTAAGTACAGATGCAGCCCTTAAGTCAAAATAATTTTTTTACATGTACATTTCATTTAAATAAAGACTAAATCCTGTAGGGGCACCCCCACTACCTAAGAAACAAAATAATTAGTTGTCTCTCACTTTCAGAAGCCCCCTCTACACAATATTAATAAAGGACAAATTACAAAGCGTATTTTACATGTGCCATTAAACAAGTAAGATTGAGTTTGCACAAAATGTAATTGCCTTTTGATGTGAGTAAAGCACAAAAAGCCCAATCAGACACAGCACAATCTAATTTATGACACAACCCTAGAATTTTTTGGTGATTGGTGTCACAACATCACAAGTCTGATGTATTACAGTGTTAAGAGGTACATAGCCTTGTCATAAATTATTTCACTTTTCGCTCCCACGCATCTGAGGTGACAGAATGAAGGTAAATTTCTTCCTGACCATTTAGACAGCTCATTATTTCCCCAGAACTCTCCTGTGCCATCACTAATCTCTGCAATGTATCATCATTCATTTAAAATATCAATTTTCTGCAACCCATGTTTAACAGCACATTCTGTTTTCTAACTTTTTTGTATTTTTGAGGATAACTTCCCAACTGAATTCTGCAAAGACTGACAAACGGCAACTCCCAAAACTCTGATGGCAAAAGACCTTTATGAACTGCTTTCTCAGTCGACACAAGCTGTATTTTCTCCATTGCATGTGTTACATCAGGGCTTAGATTGGTTCTTGCAGTAACAAAGGGACACAAGAGCCAACTTTTACTTGGAACAAGCTTAGCAAACTATCAGCTTCTTTTTAGAAAAGGTGAAAGTTCTCTTCACCCAAAAGCATCTACCTAATAAATGGTAATTCTTGCACTTACATTATGAGCATCAAGTATGAGGTTCTGCAAACAAAGATGCCAAATATCAGCTTGGACTGCAATGGAAAAGAAAAGCCAGAGAAGAAGACAAAGCCTCAAAAGAAACTATTTCTAGAAGATTTCTTCCATTTTTTCATCTACAAGCTAATCAGTGTTGGGTAGGATCAGATTTCAAAGAAAACCTCAAAAGTAAGTTTGTGAAGCAAAGGATGCAACAGGCAGCTGCACCCAGTTGAGAAGTTACATCATGGAAACAGGCATGGAAAGGAACTTCCCCATAAGCATGACTTCAGTTATTCTGTAGGCTTGTTTGATTGCACTGACAGTGCAAAGAATTGATTAGTTAAGACAACCTGAGCAACTTGAAGAACCATTATTTAAAAGTGAGGAGACCATAAAAACTCTGTTTTACCTACACTGCTCTGGTCTGACTGAAAATTCCTCCCTGACAGAAAACCTTCATTCTTATACTACAATGTTCTGCTTGAGCGGAGATCTTGGTCCTGAGCAATTGCTTTAGTGGTCTACAATGTTCTCCTTGCCAGAGAGCACCTGTAGGTGCCATCATAAAGACATAGACTCTTAAGCAATTCCAAATTAACAGGTGAAGCTCAGTTTTAAAAACTTATGCTACATATCAGAAATTTTTCCCATATTATCTTGATTCCATTGATATCCCTTACTCAGATCAGACTGATCCAGCAGCACTCCTGCAGTTACTTATGGTTCATATTTATTAAGTCTGAATAAACTATAAAGTGTATTGACTTAACCTCCACACTTGAGGGCAAAAAAAAAGTCATACCAAATATTCCTATTTATTCAATAACTGCTATTTACAAATGCAAATCTTGACTATTTAAGGAATATCAGAATAGCAAACTGTTGTTAAAAGCTTTAAATGGGGAGATTTCTCACATTGATTATGAAGTGAAATATTCATTAATCAGCTGCACAGCGTAATACATGCTACATATTCCAGGCCAGAAATTACTGATGGACATTATCATAGCAAACTTTCTTTTAGGGAGAGTGAATTAGAATAAAGGGAAAGAATCACATCTGCTCTGCTTCCTTGCACTGAGGCAACAGAGAAAGGTAGGCTGCAACCAAGCAGAGCTGATTTTCAATAAAGAGTAAGTTTTAAGTTCAAAAAGAGCCTGGAAGAAGGTAAGCTTAGCTTACTGAGCAACAGGCAGAATTTGCCAGCAGATATCAGCAAGCTCAGAGGAGGCAGCACAGCCTCGAGGGGTTTCCACAAGGAGCAGCAGGAATCCCCACTGGCAGAGCTGGGGAACTGAGCACAGATAACTCACTTTAGCCATATCCCCAGCACTTTGTCAGTGAGTAAAGACCATTTAGTTCACAAAATCCTCTGTTTTCTTTCCATCAGTTGCTATACGTCCCCAAAGAACAAAAATATGAAGTGCAGCAATGGAAGCTGAAATTCTGCCAAGAGTGCGGCTGAGCAGGAGGCAAGTCCTGGAGATCAATACTCCCCTGCAGGTTCCTTTCCCCAGCTGTCCTGCCAGGGAGAGCAAGCATCAATCTGTGCCCAGCAAACCTGCCCACAGAGATTGTAATTAGACCCATGACAGCTCAAAGGGTGGGAAAAAAATAAAAAAGAAAATAAAGCATGTAGCTCCAGAATTCAACTTCCAGTGCAGTTGTTCACAATCAGGTGCTCAGCTGGGACTGAGCAGACAGGCTTTAAATAAGCTCCCTGCAAAACTGAAAGACTTGAGATATTTTGAGATACTAAAATAGATGTGTGGCATTTTTTTCTTTAAAAAGATACTCAAATCTGCAGGATTGAGTTTTAAATCCAAATTTGGCACCTAATGGAGGGCAGCTCCCCTGCCACATCAGAGACCAGCCCAGCAGCACAGATCCCCCTCCAGTACCATCCCTCTGTGCCACAGCAAATGTCTACAGGCCACACAGCAGGGAGGACCAAAGGGAAAAACACAGCACAGGGATGCAATTCTGCAAATGGAGCCCCACAATTTAAAAATAAATTTATGGCACTCCAGTGCATTCAAAGGATAGCTGCAAAACAGACCCTCAGGCAAAACAGCAATAAGAGGAGCTGATACAGGATCCCCTAAGAAAATACCATTACCTAAAGGTAGCTTTTTATTTACTAATAGAGACAGTATCTCCTTAGGTTATTATATAGGTCATATGCACAGCCTTTAACCGAGCACATTGAGAAGAAACAGCAGCAAAAGAAATTAGAAAATAATGCTTGAACCAAACGAACATAAAAATTCCGTAAAGATCAGAATGTGGTAACAACATTCCTAGACAGGAGTATTAGGGAAAAAATAATGTTCAAGTCAGTGCTGAAGTTGCCAGAAAGTCACAGAAACCCAAGTTACTTGTTATTTCTTCACTAGCACCTTAGTATTTGGTACAACACAGCTCCTGTGCTTACATTTACCAGTAATAGCAGCTTCCAACATTAGCAATTTCTATTGCAATAAATCTTGGAAGACTCAGTTATAAGAAAAGTCTTTAGTTAAAGTAAAGGTGAAATAGCTGTTGGGGGAAAAAATGAAAGCAGAAGTCTGGCCTCAATTATTTTATAGTTTGTACAAATAGAAGCATGAACTCCTGTGGGAGAACACAAAGTCATAGGTAATTTAAAAGGTGTAATATCTTTTCTTTTGTCCAAGAAAATTTATTAGTTTTACTATTGAGGTGAAAGGAACAAAGGAATCAATGTAATAATTCTGAGAGAAAAAAACCAAGTTTAATAACAAGCTGTAATGAATGAACTGCTACAAGAGAGGCCTTCAAGATGGTAGTTCTGTGCCAGCTTTTGACAAGATGTGGCTAGAAGACTATATGTGCATTTCACACTTATTTCTGCTAAATGATTACAGTAAAATTGTACAGTTCTCCATTTTCTCTCTGGCATGCCACTACACGAAAATGATTTTTATTAAAGTTACCTAATTGTGCTAAAAAATACCATTGTATCTGCTGAAACACCAGCTCCTCCAATACTTTCAATTACAAAAACAATAATCCAAAAAAATGCACATTAAGGCAAGGCAAAGCTAACAACTCACACAAGGAAGGTACCAGACTGAATGCAATGAAACAGTTATTGTGCTATTGCTACACACAGGTCAGCAGAAGAGTTTAAGTGTTACTTTTATAGGCTAACTGATAAAAAAAAATCACCTTACTCCACTGATTTCCTTGCTCTACCTTGGTCCCTTGATGTGCAAACTTCCACTGGGACTGCTGGTCAAGGCAACAGGGCAGAGAGAAGCAGATACCAGAAAAGAGAAGGGAGCCCATGCTGAGGCTCTGCCTCAAGACCATTGATTCAAAAGGCACAACAATTCACAAAGGAACTCCCCATACCCACTTGTTCAGATAAGGTCCAAAGGTAACTTTTACCAAATCCAGACCCCCATGGAACAGCGTGGAAGCCCCTCAGCCCCTGAGTCTCTTGTTTAAGTAGTTTCCTTCACAATTTATTGATGGATGATGCAGTACTCAGCTGTTCTAGCACCCCTGCTAAACCCTGTAGTCCCAGCAAGTTAAGCTTTGTGTCACTTGTCTCTGCTTGAGGGCATTTGACTCTCCCCTTAGATAGGCTCTGCATGCTCTTACACCTCAATCACTAACACACAATCAATTTTATTCCAATTCTGAGCCCCAGAAATAGAAATAAACACCAAAACAGACATTTTACAAATGAAATGTAGCAGAAGACACATCCCTTACCTCGCAGCAGGCAGCTCAACAAGCAGCATCCTTCACACTCCTTATTAACATGGATTATTAGAAAATAACCCACAGTTCTTGGAGAGCACTGTAAATCCACTCAAACTGGCAACACTGTCGGTCTAAACCCTACCCTTTATCCTGCATTCCTCCCTCCAAACCTCCCTTTCTGCAATGAGCCTGGACCACCTGCTCCATCTCACCCTTCACGAGATGCAGGGGATACCAATTTTCCAAGGCAATTTGCCCTGAGGGGCTCCAGCTGTCCCTGGGGCTGGACACCAGAGACTCCTCACATGCATTTAATCCTTAGGGTTATTATCTCTGCCTCATGGTTGTACACTCAGCAGCACCGTGTCATAAACGATGTGAATCCTCATACCAACCACACCTGAGGATACAAAGATTTGTCAGTGTGCTTAAGAGAAGTTTAAATTTTACAGCAGGTGAAGGGCAGAAGTTCTTTGCTCTGTTCTCGGTGTGCTTGGAATTGATATCACTTATTTTCACGCATTTGGGGAAGAAAATATGCAATTAGTAGTCTGTACAGTTTGTATTTTGAGGTTTTAATATGCCTAGAGGAGAAGCTTTGGCTATTCTTGTTGAACAAGCACTACTCACTCAGCTGTCCTGAGCAATGTGCCAGGGTCGCTAGCCCAAAGAATTTAGCAATCCTGAGTTGGAAGCTTCAGAACCATGAGATTTCAATTAAAAACTGCAATTTTTTACTCTTTGCCTTCTGATTATTTTTTTCCCATTTTCAAGGTTCAGTCAATACCTACCTGCAAGTTTCATCACAAACCCAAGAGCTTAACAGAAGCTGAAATTAATTGCCAAGAACTGGAAACCAATACCTTAAGCAGGACAGTAAATACTGTAACAAAGGCAGAAGTTGTGAAGTCTGAGCAATTCATTTTTCCAAAACAGGCTTATGACAAACTTGTGGAAGTTCTTAATTATTAAAATTCAACATCAACACACAAGACTCAAAGCTACTCCCAGGGTTATCAGACTTGCTGCAGATTTTGAGATCCTCACTGAATATAATTGGCAATTCATATTATGACTTCAATGGAGCTGTGTTGAGATCACCAAAATGTGATCTCAAACTTCACCAAAAAGAGATGTTATTTTCAGTAAAACTTTTGTTCAGAGTTAAAAATAACCTTGGAAGTCCCATTTTTACCTATAAAGCAATCTAAGTATATCTGCACCTTGACCAGGCTTGTCTTGAAACATTTGAGCTTTCTTGGATAATATCAAGTTTCAGTACTTCAGAAATACATTTATCAGTCCTTCTGGTTTTCTACTCTGGTGACCAGCTTTTTACTTTGATCTCCATGTAAGAGTTTTCTCCTCCATGGTCTTTGCTCCCACATTTCTGGTCAACTTCCAACTACCATTTTTAGTTCTCCCATTAGCTTTTAACTTTTGTGGATTTCGCTTTATTGGAATTGGCAACATGGTGCTATTTAAACACAGCTCCATCTGTCAGAGTCAAGTCCTGCAGGTAGGGTGTCATGTTTGATTTCATGTTATCATTTGTTGTGTAGCCAGAGCTAAAGAAAAGAAAGTTTACTATAAAACTGTTACCTTCACAAATTCCTTTTGAGAATTGAATTAGGTTCATAAGGACCTACTTGTGTCCTTGTGAACACAGCCAGAGAGAAAACAGAAGAGATGTGCTCAGCTTTACTTTGCTCCTTGTTTCCTCCCCTCTCCTGCTTTCCTCAGCATGTGTGTGAATTGGAATGGCAGTATTACAGCTGATGGAAAACACTGTAGGCTTAAAAGAAAGCTGGCATTTTGGAGATTGAGTTTTCAGATTTGAAAAGGAATCTACTTTGATTGCCCAGCTTCAGAGCTGCTGCCTGGTATGAGGTTACATCTGACACTGAAAGAAGAGAGATGGTTGATTTTTATCCCAGCAGGACAACAGTTGTACTTCACAGTCAGGGCTTCCCAGCCACAAGGGGACTGGATGGGAAGCAAAAACTTCATTTCCTGGAGCCTTTCTGACATGCATATCAAATAGGTCTGGTGAACACCATTACTGCCTTTGCAGTCTCCTAGATTGCTTCGTCTGTTCCTTTTTTTTCTCAAAAAGACATAACCTCAAAACCAGCAAAAATATGATACACCACAGCACATCTAGGAACCTTTGAAGCCCATTAGAGTGCTTGTCTTTTCACAAACAATATGCACATCTTGCCTTGCAGGTCTCAATGATCACACATTAAACAAAAGCCTTCATTTTGCTTTATCCTGGATGCTACATCAACATTGGAGTTTTTTAAGCCAGACAGAAGTGGCTATTCAGGTGCAAGAGCTTTCCTGAATTCCTTTCTTTTCCCTTAAAATTTTCGCAGTTGTTTTTTTTTTTTCCTTCCAAACAGCAGCATGAATATTTCTAGCCTGACAATTCTTCAGGTGAACCTGCAATGCACACCATGTACAGCCTCACCAGAGCAGAGGTGCCCCAAGGCAGAGAGCATGGCCAGCATCTCTTGCGCGTTCTCCCTTGGGTAGGCACCATGGTCAAGTGCTAACAGACAATCCATGTTCCAACCGTGAGAGTGAGATCCAGCACTTCCCAAAGGACTGACATATGTGTTCCCTTAATATTTAGGAGGAGCCTGAGTGCTGTGAGGCTGTTCCCTTATGGGGGATCTGGCAGTAAGGGGCACTTAGAGGGGGGTAAAGAAGCAGAGCAGCTTTCCTGCCATGGGGACCCAGCAGAGCTAAGGGTCAGAGGGGCTGGAAGTGTAAATACAGAGAAGTGGGATGCAGGTGGAGGGCTGGGTGCAGCTCTCACAGATGGCCCTGCTGGCACAGGCACCTGCCTCAGCCACAGGAGCCTGGCCTGACTCTGCACTTGGAAAAACAAACAGCTGGGGAAAGGCCATGTCTTAAACAATCAAAGCTCTTCTGCTGAGTAAATGTGAGCCATAAATCTCAGGGCTTACACTGACATCAGCACAGCTGACCCAGTGCTAGGCTGCTATCACAGGATCTGTGCTTTTAGTGCAAATAAAACACCATGTCAGGGGCAGGAATCAGCTAAGCCCTCTGCTATTAGCTCTGTTGCCATTGTAAGCACTTCTCCAGGAAGTGCTGCTGGAAGCAGCTATTTCAATTCACCCACAATTTGTTCCAAAGCAGATAGGAGCAGATTCTTCAGACTGATGGAATGTAAACCATCACAGTGCATGCAGAATGTCCAGAACTGAGGACACACACAGACTCTCATCAATGGTTGTGGTGAACAGGGGATTTGGAGAGTGTTGGTGTGCTGGACATTGTGAAACAGCACAAAAAATTCATGTGCATTATGTAAAGCTAGAAACAAAACTGCAAATGGATAACTCCTGACTTCACATGTGGCTTGTGCTCCAATTTAAACGAGAATAGTGCAATCCAAGCCCTGAACTAATGCATTAGAGTTACATTAACATTGTCTTTGCTGAGGAAGGCTGCTGGAATTCTTGGGACTCTATTTTCTGGTACAGTAAGTTTATCCACAGCCATCTTCCCTCTTGGTTATTTAGTGGCTGTCCTGCACACAGGGGAGGAACTGGGGACAGCTGAAAAGCTCTTACCCTTCAGCAAGCAGCTCCCAGAACCTCACTCTCACAGCCTGCAAGGGCCCCAGAGCCTGAGCCTGAGCCTCTCCTTCTAAACAAAAGAAGACAAACTCTGGATCGTGTACAACTCATGCAATAGGCCCTGAAGCTGATAGTACAACCCTGGAATTAAAGAGATCTTTCATCTTGTTTGCCTTGTATTTACAGCTGCAAACATCAAAGGCTGGCTCACTGCACAGACCAAGAAGCCCTTTAAGTACCAGGCTTTGCAGAACAGCTGCTGCCTGACCAGGAGGAGCACCCTTCAGGGCCATTGTCATTAACAATTCTGTAATTTATACTGATGACAGTGCAGGGTAACAAAACCAACTGCTGTTCAGGCACTAGAAATCCTCTGCTAGACAGCCTGTCTCTCTCCAAGGGTTGTATACAGCCTGCTCCAGTTTAGGGAAGGATGGAAAAGCGGACAGACATGTCCCAAATACCTGTCCCATCCTTGGGGCCAGCAGAGCAAAGGTGATCACCAAGGCAGACCTGGCTGCACCAGCACCAACCGGGCTCTTTTTAGCAGAATTAGAAGTTTGAACTCACCTTTTGCTTGCTTTTAAATAACATGGGTGACAAGCTGATTCAGGGTTTCTGTGCAGGGATGTGTGAGCTTCTTGTCCCCACAACAAGCTGACATGACTGATGCCACTCAGGAAGGTTGTGACACATTTGGGATTTGACACCACTGTGATCCTGACAGCTACAGACCATGAGTTCCCACCAGGGCACTAAATCCCCACAGGGATTGTACCAAAGCAAGAAGATTTCCCTTCATGGGTTGCTTTCTGATTGTCATCTGTACCTTGCCTTGCTTTTGTTTGTCTGTACCTTTTCCCATATTGGTATTTATAGGCTAATTCTCCCGACACTTCTGTTTCCAGGCAGTGATGAGCTCCTCCTCACAAGTCTATTTTGTCTCCTCTTTGTCTGCAGCTTTTAACACTGTGCTGCTTAACCAACATGGGATTAAATAACCAGAACTGAGGCAATGATGAAATGCTGGAAACATTTTTAAAAATAATGAGATCAATAAAGTTAAAGCCACATGCATTTGGAGCTATGGCAAGACTCTGTGAGGTGAAGCCTGAATGTGAGTGAAGAATTCCCATAATTGCAATTGTTCACTCACGTGTTCACTTCATTAACTGTGTTGCACACTCAGAAATTACACTGCCACAGGAGAAGTGGCAGTGACTTAAATACTACACCCATCAATTTTACAAGTTAAAAATGAAACTTCTCTTTATGCACCAGGGTTTGTGCTTGAGGCAGCAATGGTTGGCTGGTACCAGAAGGGACCTGGAGGGCAGCAGGGACCTGGCTGAGCAGAAGGAGGATGCTGAGATGGAAGGAGGACACTGAGATGGAACTGTGGGTCAGGATCTGGCCCAGAGTCACTGCTCAGGGTCTCTCTCCATGCCACAACCACTGGGGAAATCCAGAGGGACAAGGCAGATCCAAGGTCAGGAAGCTA